AGAAAATATCGGATAACCTTGTAAAAACATCAAAATGCATAATAAATCAGTAAATCGTCATTTACTAATTTGTTATTGATCTTAGTTTCTTAGCTTTATATAATGGTTGGGAATAAGATAATAGTCTAGAAATATGTATATCATTTTACAAAATATCATTGCATATTTCCACAACGTCTCTAATTTTTACAATATTTACCCTCGACATTTCTGACATTTCCGACGTCCTATATTTTGGTAAGCGACATTTCCATCGACATCGACATCTTAAACCTTGGTCGTAATTCTGCACTTTATTTAAATATTAAAAACCGAGCCAACTATGAAGAGGACTATAACATTTGTACCCTTTTTGTGTTTTTTGAATATCCCAAGAAGACACTTTACTGCATGAGGTTCAAGCTTGTTACGCTGATGATAAAACAAATGAGCAAAGCAAACACACCCAAAGATGCGAGGTGTTGAAGTAAACAAGGGAGCATTAGGAAATAATGCAAAGTAGGGTATCTTATTGTGAAGGACTGATGAAGGCATTTGGTTAATGAGATAGCAGACAGTAAGAACATGCATCTGAATAAGGAGGRCCCGTGTATCTTCTAGCAGATGATGGTTTTTGCGTTTAGCTACACCATTCTATTGTGGTGTATCAACACATGATGTCTGATGTATGATTCCATGCTCAATATAGAATTCATTAAATGGTGAAGACATATTCTTTAGCATTATTAGATTGGATAACACAAATAGTGGAACCAAATTAGGTTTTTATTTCCATAATGAAAGATTTGAATACAGAAAATAATTCAGACCTCTCCTTTAACAAATATAACCAAGTAACTTTTGAATAATGATCAACAAAAATAACAAAATACTTGAACCCTGATTAAGACACTTCAGGACACAGACCCCAAATATTTGAATGGACTGATTGAAAAGGTTTAGACACATGACTCATAGTTTGAGGAAGAAACACAACTCGATGATGCTTGCTAAGTTGACATGTATCACACTCAAAATTAGTGTTGGATGGAAGTGAAGGAGCCATGACATGAAGACTCTGCAGTGAAGGATGACCTAGCCGACAATGAAGTTGAAAAGGAGACACTCCAGAAGAAGAAGAAGACTGAAGGGCAATATGTCCTTAGCCATCTTGTGAGTAGTACAAATCACCG